ACATACGGTACTGGAGACACACGGTAACCTCTGGCTGAGATGCGAGTCAGAACAAATCAGAAAGGGAAGGGAAGCTGTACATTCACAAAGCGTACGCTCCATACCGCTCCATGAACCAGCCCGAAAGTCTGCCAGCCCTCCCACGACAGCTCTGCACCGCCCGACCGCTAAACTCCACGGGAGGATGCAAAATGGCTCCAAACACGATGCAAAAAACACACTCCTCACTTCTGGCTGAGATGCGAGTCAGAACAAATCAGAAAGGGAAGGGAAGCTGTACATTCACAAAGCGTACGCTCCATACCGCTCCATGAACCAGCCCGAAAGTCTGCCAGCCCTCCCACGACAGCTCTGCACCGCCCGACCGCTAAACTCCACGGGAGGATGCAAAATGGCTCCAAACACGATGCAAAAAACACACTCCTCACTTTACACAAAGTCACAGACAAGATAGGGAGTCTGGGGGAAGACGGACACACGGACAGATACACAGACAGCAAGAACAGAGCGTTTAAAAAAAAAGTTAACCCCGGTGGCCGGAGCAGAGATGAAACCTCACCTTACAGAGCAGGCGCAAGGTTTGAGTAGAAACAGTTCCAGTGTAAATCGAGCTGTGTGCATTTGGTTTTTTTTTTCTTTTTTTTGCAGTGATTTCTTTACAAACAAACAGGTCAAGAGGTAATAATTATAGATTGTTTTTCTTCTCTTATAAAGAATTAACAATATTAAAAAAAGTTAAAATCCAGACCCTCCCATAAAATAATAATAAAAAAAATAATCAAAACCACTCCAGTTAAAAGTTATGGCTTCAGAGTTATACACCGTAGATACTGACCTAACCACCAAACAACCGGCACTTCCCAGACTGTCTTTAACGCTGCGGTCAGCACAACAGACTCGGTCCTCAGCTACTTCCATTTTTGCTAGGCCCAGCTGTAGACAACAGTCAAACCAACTCTACTTCACCCTGATTTGGCATTTAATCAAAAGAAAATTCATGCAGTTCCCCCCACCCCACAAGTTATACACAGCCACTTCCAGATTATGAGATATTTATATATGTATATTAAAAAGATGGACGTTGGTTTCCAAACCCACACCCCGCTGTCAGATCCTGCCGAGTGCCTCTCGGCCCCCGGCCCCCTGCGGCTCAGGCCCTGAGAAGTCTGCCCCACGCTGCCGAGCGCGCCTGCGAGGGTGCCTGGACGGTGGACTCGGGAATCGCGTTCCTACGAGAATGGTCTCCTGCATTTCCCTGTGGCCTGGTCTCCTTCCAGCCAGGCGCAGTGCCCGCTCTCTCTCTGACACGCATCTCAGCTCCGTGGCATCTCCTCCCGCCCCAGGTCTCTCCTTCCACCCTACCAAGAATTACAAACCCCAGGGGCTCAAGACAAAAAGCCTGGATTCCAGGACTGAAGTCAGTTCCTCATTTGTTTTGTCTTAAAAAAGGGAAGGGGTGGCAGTGAGGCAACCTGATGGGAAGTTCCTGCAGCCGGCGTACGGACAGCAAGGCCACAGCACCCATCGGAGAGCTAAGGATCTGGTTTTAAGCAGCCTGTCCAAGCTAGACAATGCTCACTACTCAACAAGGAGAGCACCAGCGCGCACAGCTCAAAAAAAGGACACTCTAGATTTGCACATGCACAGAAAGCACGAACAGAGATGAGCCACCCTACGGGCAGACACTGCACGTCTACGGAAGGAGATGAACAGGCACAGGGGACACGCGCACCTCGCGCATGCATACACCATTGCGCACACTGACAGCCAGTCAGAGTTCTGTTTTCGACTTAGAATTTTTCAAGCTTAAGAAAAAGGAGGGAAATGGTTTCATGAAGCTGATAAACTGTTCAGGCTCAGCCTCTCAGAAGGGAGCACCATTTGTTTTGCAAATGCTTTTTCTGCATTAACGTGCCAGTCCCTGGAAAAATCCTCAGAGCGTGGCAAGAAAACCTTCCCTTTCCCTTCCCACTCCCAGCACCTAGCACCCTGGCCTCAAACACTGCCAACGGGTGCACTGCGCGCACTGAACTTTACAGGGATTTCCATTAAAGAAACAAGAGTTACGATCATGGCTGAGATCCCTCAGGTTAAGTCCCTCTCAAGTCTTCACGCTGTCAGGAGGTGATCATAAAAGGTTTCTGATTGTTTCATACCCAAGCAGGGAAGAGAGCAATTCAATAGGCTCCGTCACCCCACCTAGCAGCCTGTAGGTCACGCTGCCTGGTTGGTAGCAGTAGATTGGGCAGAAACACGAGGTAGGCCTCCATCACACGTCTACTCTAGCATGGCAGCTTTTGTGCAGTTTCCTCCTGCTGGGGCTCAGAGCCTAGATTTTCACATCTTCCTGGACACTGAGCTGTGAGAGGGTTTTCTTAATGCGGAGGGCGGTGAGTCGAGCCGCTCCGTTGGCGTACCAGCACTCTCGCATCATCTTACCCATCACCCGTAGTGCCTAGGCAAGAAACAACGGCAGATGTCAGTGCTCTCCTCTTCCCTGATCCCAAGTCGGTCTCTGCCAGGCTGCCGCCGCCTGGTTGGCCACCGATACAGCCTCCACTCCTCCTAAAACTGGAGCTCGTCTTATGGTACTTACTCTTTACTCACCTTACCGAGGAGGAAGGGGATGTGAAGATGAAAGTAGACCTTACCTCGTAGCTTTGCCACCAGTTCGGGATATTAGGCCGTAATTTCTGATCACATACGACCTTCCGCATCTCTTCAATAGAAGGATCAGAGGGTACAAGGTCATAGTATGGAAGCTGATACTCTTCGTGGATACCTGCAAGGCAGAGAAGGGGAAATGCAATTCCTGGGAGAATGGATCATCACCACAGTGCTCACTGAAGGCAGACCGATACTGGTTTATACTACATGACTCATTGCTGAGATGCGTCAACACTTTGCAGTTATTTAGAACAGAAATGAAGAATCTGGGATTTGAGTTTACAAAAAAAAAAAAAAGAGGGAAATAAAATGCAGCTGCCCAAACTGGAACAGAGTCAGCGTGCTGCGATCAACACCTCCCAGCACAGAGGCAAGGTCATCGAATCTCGGCTGAGCCGAGGGCAGAAGGACTGTCACACGCACCACGGTGCTGCACTCCTGCCTGCAGCTGGGTGTGCCAAGACACTCATTTATACTGATTTTGGGGAAGAGAGTCACCCACCAAATCGGCACCACTACTTCTTTAGAATCCACCCAAAGGAACATCAGCCATCACAGCATTAACCCCCACTTCCCCACACGGGCCAGTCTTAACAGCAGTCATGGGTCACTTCTGTTAACTCCCTCGGTAGCAACACACGCGGACATATCCTCCCGCAGCCCTGTTCTCCAGGCTCCCCTCAAACCTCGCAAACACCTGATCAAGAGAAACACCGAGGCTGGGAGACCCAGGAGCAAGCCAAGCCAATGGCACGAGCACATGAAGGGTATTACCTCCTGCGTTGCACCTTCGAGCAATCTCCCAGTAGACCAAGCCCAAGGCATAGATATCGGCACATTTAAATGAATCAAAATGCTTCATGTTAATGGTTTCATCCAAGACTTCAGGGGCCATGTATCTGCAGAACAGAAAAGGAACGGCATGTTAATTTTGAGAGAGGATTCTCCAGAAGATAGTAAATGGCAAGTTTTCCCATGCAGCACTTCCCAGCAGACAAAGCTGTGCTCTGCACAGCCTTAATCAGAACAGAACTGGGCCCCATGGTCTAACAGAGCGAACAAAAGAACTCAAAAAGAATAGCAAGTTGGGAAAGGGATAAAAACGTTCAAAAGCACATCAGGCTCCGGACAGCAGGCCCCAACAGGCTTTGGAGAACGCCAAGCTTGTTGTCAAGTATTATACAAGCTCCCTGGTGCCGAGTTTACGTAGCTGGCCTACACCTCTCAGCTTGACAGCACCTGGAGACGAAGGTACTGACATCCCTTCAACATCAATCCGGGCACAATGCTGACACTCTGCGAGACACCTGGAAATGCTTAAGACAGAGAATTTCACCAGTGCTCAACCAGCAGCTCAGGCATTTGCTAGTCACACCCCGATGCCTTCAACCACTGGCCAAGAACTCCGTTCTCCTACCGTTTGGTTCCGACCCTTTGATTCGGCGCAATATCAATCGTATCCGTAACCGAATCATGCCGGACAGCCAGACCAAGGTCAGCGATGGCACATGTGCCGTTCTTCTTCACCAAGATGTTCTTGGATTTCAAGTCTCTGTGAGCAATCCCGGGCTTTCCTAAGAGGGCAAAATAAAAAGAAGCAGGGGTCAAGGTCTGGTGAAATCTGTTAGTCAAACTGGTGCAGAGGCAGTACCGGATTTCAGGGCGTTAGTTAAACTCTCCGTGTCGCAACACATTTTCCTGTTTGGATACACTTCAGTGCTGGAGAACAGAGCAGTGCTGACAGCCCTGCTGCCATGGTATGCAAAGGCTCCACTTACGCTTCCCGAGGCAGTGCTGATGCAGTAGCATCCAGAGGCCTCAAGAGGGACATAAACTCCATCGTCCCAGTCATCAGACACGTTGATGCGGACGTAAGGAGTTTATAATTCTGCTGCTGCCTGCGCTAACATCCCACCCAACTAGCACCAATTTTAGGATGGGGGTGTGAAATGCTGATATAACTCCCAGGAGCTAGCGCAAAGCTAACCCACTTTGCAGCCAGCCAAAGCAATCAGTCTATTTCTGGTGAATACTGACCAGATGAATCGGGGCCGACTCAGCCAGTGTTTTCTGTGCATCACATCAGTCCCCCTCATCAATTCTGCTTTATTCTCCCCTCAAGAATTCCCAGCACCTTTTCAAACTTTGCTCTTACCCTGAGTACCCACAATCTCCATGTGCAGATGGGCCAGCCCGCTAGCAGCAGACAGGGCGAGCTTGATCATCCCCTCGATAGTCACTGTGTATCGATTAAGGTAGTCAAAGAGAGATCCGTGCTCATGGTAATCAGAGACAAGCCACAGCTGAGTCCATGTTCCATTATCTGCAGCAGGAAAGAGACCGTGCTCAGACAGATACAACGCAGGGACAGCACACGACCATCGAGCATGTCGCACCCTGTCTTTTTGGTACAGAGGAGAGCTGCTGGGTAAGGCTGCAGCTCAACAGCCAACCTGGGGGCAAATAAGGTAAAGAACTTTAAGGCAAAACACGACTTTGTAAGCTACAGCTGATGCACCACTGCGCCTCTCAACAGCAGCAGTAATTTTACCATCTTTTGGCGAGAAACATTCAAATACGTAGCTATTTGAAAAGCATGCTGACCGTTTTCTCTAACCATTTAATTGTAAATCCTAGCGAAGAAATGCACCTCCCAAGAGCAGACAGCACACTGGTGAAGTCTCCGCTCTCAGGACTGAGGCACTTTTTACCTTTGTTATCTGCAGCGATAAATCCCAGGATGTTCTCATGTCGCAACATAACGGTTTGATAGATTTCCGCTTCCCTAAACCAGGAACGCTCCTCACGTGAAGAGAAGATTTTTACAGCTACGTCACCTCCACGCCACCTGCCACGCCACACTTCCCCGAAGCGGCCTTTACCAATGATCTCCTGAAGGACAATTGTCCGAGCCACAGTCCGTTGGACAAAAAGCGGCAAACCTACGGACAAGAAATGGAAGGAATGAATGCCTGTTGCAGCAAAAGAAACTCCTGAAACCTCAGAGTCTGAAGTAGAGCATCATCAAACCTAGAAGGCTCTACATTTGATAACAACCAGCAGCCTAAGCAAGACCCAAACCAGCAAATGGTGGTAGCTCCTGCGTAGGACGTGCCATTTGGCTGCTCGGGCAGCATCTGCATATCACTTTGAAGTAGCTTGCAAACCGCCAGTGATTAGGCACAGAGCAGCTGGGAAACTTCTGCTCTATGGCAGATCAAAGCAACTTTAGCCTGAATATGCAAAGAGTGGAACTCGTTGAAGACGGACTCTGCTAAAAAGCAGTAAACCACCAGAACTTCTCTTAAGAAAGGAGTCCTAACGTAGCTGCCACCTCTTACGTAAGCTACAGAGCTCACCTGCTGAGAGTGCGTACAGAAGAGATCCCAAAACATTTTATATATAGCAGATGTGGTGCTAAAGGTTTATTCCCTGGTCAAATACCAGGTTGCTATATTCTCTGCCTCTGTGGATTATCCTATGGTTTCCATCTGCTGCAAAATTCTTTCTTTTTTTAACCTAACTGCTTTCATAGTTCAAAGTCATGAATAAAACAATGACTTCCCTATCTATTCCGGGGATGATTTCTTCTAAGTGCTACAGAAGTGAATGCTGTACATCATCCACTTCAGAAGACCCAAGGATTCTTTGGGATGAAATGGGCTGTGCAAATGCAGTATTTGCACACTGCAGAATTTTCAGCTGCTGGGATCTTTCCCATTTTCCTGCCAGCTTTGATGCAGGTGACATCCTGCATCCTCCTTTGAAAGCCAACAACCCACAGGTGAGCAGCCAATGTCCGTTTCCAACCCAAATCCAGTTCCAGAGCTAAATTTGAAATAGATGTAGCCGTTTGAGTTATCCTCTTGCAGAAAAGGAGGAAAGCTACGCAAATCTATTTTTACACATCAGCAGTTACGGAGGAGTTGAACTATTGCTCTTACCTAGCCTAAGCACTGAACACTGACACGGGGCCGTGGCTACAGCGCCTACTGCATGACAGAATCTAAAACACGCCCTCCACGTGACTCATGATGGGGCAACATGAACAGGCTGACGAGGCAACAGCCTCACAGCCGTGCAAAGCTGTGGCAACCAGGAGCCCAGAACAGACTACTCCATTAAAATTACAAGTTCTCATTCGTCATTTCCAGTCATATCTTAATACCTGAGCCAGAGCCAGAGGTGGAGAGATCGTAGACTAGATCTTGCAAGGTCTTATCCTTCGACAGGCACATTTCACAAGAGGGGTCTTCCACGTCCAGCCGCTGACGATTGTGATAGACTCGTTGGTGGTGATGAAAAACAAAGACGACTATGATCATGACAACAAACACAAGGAAGACAGGTCCGGCAATCACTGCCACTAGCTCCACAGGACCCCAGCTCGACGGGGGTTCGTTATCTTTCAGGTGTCCTTGAGAGGAAAGGGACGAGAAAACCAGACACTTTTAGAAAATTATCACTCCTTCGTAAGTGTTCTTTAAGGACTTTCTTCTTGTGTTTTAATTATCCTCTCAGAGCCTGGACAATTTTAGCTTGCTGTTCCAGGATGGTAGAGGACACATCAAATAACAGCGTTAACATGGGACTGATCAAGTCATCAGGCAGGCAAACCACAGCTAAAACCCCCAAAAGAAGATGGTGCTTCAATTGTGGGATCAGGGATTATTGGCACTTGCTATTTAAAAGAGGACGGGAGCCTGTTCTGGGCTGAATTTGCTAGAACAGCCTGCATTTTACCTTCCAGAGAAAAACCATCCAGTTTCTCCCTCCTTCCCCTTCTTCCTGTAACAACCAGTGAAGACTGGTACCTGAAGTCAACAATTATTTGTCTGTTTTAGAACAAATAAGACCTCCCCACTGCACCCAAGGAAAATGGATACTGCAGTCTTCATACGACCCACTTTAGCTCAAAACGGAGAGTAATGAGGTACGAGGAAGTACTGCATGCCCTCTCTGTCCCAGGAATTAGAAAGAAGCAGACGTTTCCCACACCCTCAAAGGCAGGGCTGCTTCCTCTTCGCCTATTCAGGATCCCTCCACCCCACACACTTTACTCTGAAGCTGCTGCCGGGTTTCCATACTCATGGCTCATCACTGAAAGGATCTCCAGTCCTAGAAGAAGGAAAGCCACTCTATCTGATAAAAATGCCAGAAAAGGGATCCGAGCCGTGCCCTCAGGCCACTGCAGGCACAGAGCATCATGCAGCAGAAACTTATATTTAACTGTAGGTGAACATTGCTGCTGCTGCTGCTTTCAGGAGCCTGTGAGAAAACCAGCAGCAGGGCTGATAAGGTGAGAGGAGTCGCATAATATGGAGCTACCGAGTGCAGTAAAACTGCAAAAAACTCCAAACTTTGGAAGCTTCTCCTACCCTAAAGTACAACCTCATCATCTGGTGACATTTTGTTGGCCACAGGGGAGTTCAAGCAACTTCACATTTTAATTTGAAGTAGTTTGTTATTATTTCCACTTTACAGATCAAGGAAATGAACACACAGCAACCTAAGGGAAGAAGTGAAAACAGGGTCGAGAACTCCTTATTCCCAATCCCAAACAGACAGCTTCTCTCCTCCCCACTTCAAACAGACAATTTATTTAGCTCTCTACTCACCACTGGGAACCATTAAATCAATTTTGTTGCAAAAATCAGAGTAGCAGCAGTGAGTATTACGCAGATCTTCTGAACTCAGACAATAGAAGGGTTTCCCAGCAGGACTCAATTTTGCTTCAGGAATGCAGGTCCGAACGTGATGTTTAACACCATCCAGGTTGAAGACCGAGACCATGCACGCGCCGTCCGTTTCACACGTGGAGTTCGCTTGTTTGCAGTCGGAGCACAAACATGTCAAAGCTGCAGAAATCAAAACACGACCACCTCCATAAAACCCACCAGAGAACAAATGCTCAGACAAGAGAAAACTTTCGTCTTTAAATTTCCTATTTCAGAGGGAACGGGCCATTCTTAGGCTCAGGAATTAGACTTTAGGAACAGAACAAGTCATACTCAGTATTTCAGACCTGCAAAAACCCAACTGAAGCACAAAATACAACGTGGAAGCAGAGGAGCCTTTCCAGAAGATGACTGCCCAGACAGCCCTTTTCCTGCCCCTGTTGCAACCACTAACAGAGATGACCCAAGTCATCCCTGCAAACTAGACTAGATTTTACCAAAATCCGCTCCCAACCCAACCTAGGGTCAGAATTCAAATTGAAAACAATAATTACTCAAACTGACAGACTCCATTTCACCTGAGCTGCCTGTCCAGGCTTCCTCAGCTACGCCAAAGACGAGCTGCCCGTTACGGGTTAGTGAGGGACAACCGCCCCAGCTCGTGGGAGACAACAAGCAGTTGGCAGATGCCAAAACAAAACCAATTCAAACTGACTACACAAGCCAAGTGTGCTACACCCAACTAGATCAGTCACTTATTTAGTAACTGCTTTCCTGATCCGAGACACTACCTTGGGTCAAATACATTCCTGGCTTTTTGCCTGCTCACCGTGAAGATTATTTGGGTAAAGAGCAAAGGAGAAACTCCAAGGCAGATTCCCACATTTTTCCGCCTCCCAGCTGTCATTGTGCTTTTCTCAAGCTGCCTGAAGAACTGTAAGCAAATCCCCAGGCATCGCCATCCTTGGGAACAAAGAGCGAATACAACAATGTCAAGAAGAAGGGTGGGGCTTGTTTAGCAGCACACACTATTTTCTTCAGCTTTCATCAGATCTTTCAGCCTCCCTGGAGGGATTCAGAAACATGTACTTACCCGCTGCAGAAATGGTCTTTCAGGTAGAGAAAGTTTGAAGAAGTGTTTTAAAAGATACAAGTGCCACAGTTAACTCTCCCCAGTCCAATAGCTAAATCCTCTACGTCCGCTTGTACCCTCTCGGTTTAAAGACACAAACGAAAGTCACTGTCAACACTTGTGTGTGTCAGCCACCTTCCCGTGGGGCAAGGGAAATGCCAAGCTCTCAGTCACACCATCTCTGGCAACCAGCAGATTTAAGGAGCATCAGCATTCAAGTATATTCATGGCACTGGAAGAGCCTCTTGCTCCCAGCCAGCACACGGTCCAAAGCGCAGCGGAGAGTTATGCTGCTGGGGGCACGTTACCTTGAACTTAACGAAAAACAAGCAGGTCCTGATCAACTTCAGGGTTCGTTTAGGAAGCAGACACCCATTATGCCTTATCTCCAGTGTCCTAGGTAAATCGGTTAGGCTAATTGCATTACTATTCACTTAATTCTCTCTGGACACTGTGCTCTTCATTTCCTAGCTGTTATTGTGAGCTGCTTAACAGCTCAAAGGTGGGCTGCAGTATTTCAGACAGGCTAAATGCAGACGCTGGTGAGTTTTGAACCAACAGATTCAAAACTGCAGAAGCAGTAAAAAGCCAGTAAAACGCAGAAGACCTGTTCAGTGAGACATCTTTAAAAAGCATCATGAGCAAATATAGCTTATTACTATGTGCTTAGCACAGGCCAAGGAAAAGGGACATAGAATAGAAAATGGACAACCATTTCTCAGGGAAGACCCTGAGACTGAACCATATTGAGAAGGGTTGAGGGCACTGTACCCATCAATTATGCAGCTTTTAAGGGGAAAGGTTATAATGAAAGAAAAAAAAAACCCCACTAATGTTCAGCTTGACAAACAGCTCCGAGTACACCGTTTTCCAGTGGTCATCAGAGCACAGAAAAGACAATTCTTCTGAAAAATATGCACACTTGGGGGAACAAAGGTTGGTTATAATGGAGTTTTTATGAAAACATGAGAAAGGAAAGAGCAGCCAGGGCACATTCCTACCTTCAAGTATACTTAAAAGGAAATAGTGTTTTAAAGCATCTCCTTTATTACTTTATCAAAAACTCAAGATACAAATTAAAAACATTTAAACAACACGCGTTTCATCATGGTCTTTTCAACTTGATTTAGATACAGCAAAACTGAACTTAGAAATGAGTCTAACAGAACAAAGGTCTCAAACCCAAGATTTAGGCTATGGCAGTTTCGCTTCCAGAAGCTCAGAAGTAAACAAAACACTTCAATGCACCAATAAAACTGGTTTTGTAAACTTCTTACTGAAGTATCTGGCCTGAAACTACGCATCCCTTTGAGAAGGAAAGCAGAGGAGCTGGTTGTATCCGCTCAGTTTCATTTGTAGAATTAAAAGAAATCAGTTTACCTGCAAGGTACGATACCAGAGCCCCAGTGCACAGGGACAGAGTAAGAAGATCCTTATCTGTTCCGCGCAGAAAGCAGAAGTTTCCTGCTAAGGAGGGGTATGCCCCACAGTGCACGGCCTCATTTCACCTCCTAGTGTTGTCAGCTGCTGCTCCCCCTTTGAGACAACTGCTCTTTTTTAAGAGCAATTCTTACAGTTAGCACCTCCAAAACCCCTACGGTAAGGAGGGCCACACGAACAAAGAAAATTAAGCCTTCAGCACACGTATGTACTTCTGCTACACCTTTCACGAGCGACCCTGACGGGGCTTTCTAGCTATTCCAGTCCATAACCTCTGTGCTGCAGGTAGGCACTCAAATTTTAGGAAAGATGGCCAGATCCTTGGGTAGAAGCTGCAGTCCAGCTCCAGCCTCCCTCGTGCAGCCAGGAGTCGACTCTGTCTTTATTTTTATTATGAAAAAGCTACACAGCCATATCCTCCCTAAGCATCACCTACTGCCGGCTGCCAGCGCTGCAGCGAGAAGGGCCCCGCTCCTGCAGGCACCGGCCGTGCCAGGGAGGAAAGGCCTGTCTGCACCGGGGCTCGCCGGGAACTGGGGAGCTTCCGGCAGAGAGAATTACAGGGCAACCCGCGCAGGTCCAGCATTTCAAGTTTGATTAACCAGAAGGGAAAATTCTTCTCATATCAGCAACACCAGAAGCCAGGAAAAAGCAACTGTTGTTTCCCCTTGGGTGGGGGTCAGAAAACGGACAGGTATGCAGAGCCCCCCCGCCAGGCATCTCTCGGGTGCTCCTGAGAGCAGCCGGGGACGCCTGGGGCGAAGCAAATGGAGACAGGAGTGAATAAAAGCATTTTTCATGCCAACAGCATTCTTTTTATTTGGGAAGAAAAGCTCCCATTGAGCAAAACATATAATCTACTTAATAAACTGACTGGACTGAAGAAAATAGAAGGGGCAAAGGAAAACAAAAGAGCACTTCACACAGCCGGGGCGGCGAGTTCCCCTCTCGCAGAACGCCTGGGGATGAGTCTGCATGAAAGGTGCTACAGAAGTTGGCAGCAGAGTCTGCTCTATCTGCTCAGCACGCTCTTTCTGACATTCTGCTCAGAGACAAACCCAACCCTTTAAAGAAGCTGTTTAAACAAGCCTAACATTAAGCTGCAGATCCTCAGAATGAAAGCTTTGTTCTCACTCGAGAGATGGATCAGGTTGGTATTTACACTGAAGCAAACCCTCACTGCGATTTACTCCAAGGCAGAGCGCAGGTGGTCGTGACATCAATCGCAGGAGCGAGCCAGCCCGGTGCCGGTCCTCACCGCTCCTCCTAAAAACCGGAGCAGTCAGTCGGCACTGCCAAAAGCCAAACTCTCCTTGATCCTTGACTAACGCAGCCCAGGGCTCGGCTACTGGGCTGGGTACTCCTTCAGGTGACCACCCTGAGCCCAAGAGGTGCTTCTGCTCTCCGCAAGGTACCCAGCGAGGGTCATGAGTTACAGGCGGCAGCAGGATTGTTCCCGGCAGGAACCGGGGTCACAGAGGTATTAGTATCCCTTTGCATTAACTACAGCAGAGAGGAAAACAAGAGAAGGCCCTCTTGCACCAAATTCCCCCATTAAAGGTGACGTGGATTTGCAAAATCAATCCAAACAAGCAGGGGGGGTCCGTGGGTTAGAGCTCTAGGCTCCAGGGAGACTAAAATATTAAGCTCCGACAGCCAAAGAACATTTCTTTTTTTTTTTTTCAGCAACTATCTGAGCTCGTTTCGCACATATTTATTCTCACACAGGATTGCATGTGTCAAGATGTCTCTGCAGCTAGACAGGGGAAAGTTTCACAGCAAAATCTAATGTAATGGTGTTAACCACCTTTTGGAATACATTTTCCAAAATCTCCTGAAGCTGTGCTATGCAAGATGACATTTTCTCAGGGCTAAATGCTACCTGATCAAGATGTATTAAGATAATTAACCTGAAGATGATCACTGGTGAAATTGCCAATAATCACCCACATATTTACCAGATAAACAGATTTTTGCAGAGATTGTAAGCTGCTGTTCTTTTTCAACAGTTTGAACCGAGGCTGGAAGAACGATGATTCCCCTGACTTCTGAGCCTTTATAAGGCTCTGGAACAGGAGCTGCAATTTATTATGTCTCTGTACAGCACCTAACTTAATGAGACCCAATCTGGTAGTGATGTTTTAATGCTGCAGCAGCATAATGTTAGCAAGAGAAATGGAAAACAATTGGGTTTGTACCTCTGCTGTTTCTTTAGATGCTATAATGAAGAGGGACATGTGTAAACATGCTTGGAAGAAAGAAATACCTTTCAGTGTTTCGCTATACGCTGTGCCGAAATAAATAAAGAATAACCTTTATCACAGAGTGTTTTGCCCAAGAGCAGGTTAGGAATAAAATCCATTCCCTTGCGGCAAGGGAGCAGAGGTCTGTTCCAGGAGTCCCTTTGTGCTCCTTGTTCAACCATACCACCCCAAGAACAGCGCTTCAAGAAAACAACCAGGGCTTCATTTTCAAAAGGCAGGGATGAGGACACTCAAAGCTATCTGATGAAGACTTTAAAAACACAGATCCATTATATTCACCTCGATTCTTCTGCTGCCTGGCATCAATAACTGGGATCCCTACATCCCTCTCTAGGATAC